ATATATAACATTTATATAGCGCATTTCCAAAAAAAGTAGCTCAATGCGCTTTACATTGGAATACCCATTTTTCAAAACCTTTCTTACTATACTTCCTTTCTTCTCATGCAATATATAATAATGCACACACACACACACACACACACACACACACACACACACACACACACAAACACACACACACACACACACACACACACCGCACACAGGCTATTTTCATTCAGACAGGAACTGAACAACTATAATGAAAAATAACGTTAAAAGCTCACGAAGGATAGGCCTGTAGGAACAGAAAATGTTTAAGATATCTTTTGAAGCTACTATCAAGTTTTTTTTATATTTGTCTTCGTTTCATGGGTAATCTGTTCCACATAAATGGACCAAGACATGAGAAAGATCTCTCTCCATATGATTTGTATGATTTTACAGGTGTCACAAGTAGGACGTGTTATCGTTTGATGATCTCAGGTCACCCTGGCTTATATATATATATATATATACTGATAAGTTCTTGTAGATAAAAAGGAGCAGTTTTATTTACACATTTGAAACACATGACGCAGATTTTAGATACTATTCTTTCTTTTACAGGGAGCCAAAGCAGTTCTTTTAATAATGGATTGACATGGTCTCGTTTTTTAGATCTTGTTATCAGTCTAGCGGCATTGTTTTGCATTACTTGTAAACGATTCAAATATTTGTTGTTCAGACCTGCTAGGAGTGAGTTACAATAGTCTAATCTAGATAGGATAAGAGATGTTACCAGTGTTTTTGTTGTCCCTTCGTTAAAGTACTTTCGAACTAGCCTAGGCCTATCCTTCTCAGCTAGTGTAAATCTATGACTATAGCCACTATAGGCCTAATCAATACTCGTCTCTCGTTAGTCATGAGGGGAGTATAATGGTGCTAATTAAAGAAATGTATAAAACTAACAGTTATTTCCCTTGGGGGGTACCGATTTTTTTTCTTCTAAAAATTCTCTACATTCTTTTTCCATACACTTGTATCAACTTCGACTCTCCTTGTGTGACACTTTCTGATTAAGAGATGACCAAATGTTCGTGCATGTTTGTTTTTTGTTTGTTGGGGAGATTTATTCTGCTTAGATTTATTCTTTTGAAAAGTTAGGCCTGTCACAAAAAGGGTTTATTCGAAAACAAGTCCGAAGAGGAAGTAGGTGTGACGTCATGCCGCCATGTTCGGAAGATCACTGGTTTTGATATAAGGTTGTGTGCACTCATGAAAACAACTGCTTGAATTTCGCGTTGATTCTGAGCTTGTTTGTGTCGGTATACTGTGTAATTTTTCTGATTTTAGTCACGGAAAAATGGAGTGTTGAGTGTGATGGAGCTAGGTGTATCTGTCATTCTCTTTGAATTGAATTAAAGCGGGTAAGTAACGATCGATTTCATATTCATTCCGAATTCATGTTCAGACGGAAGAGTGAAAGTAGACTTGGCCTTGTTCTTTAACTTGCAAAATTGTATTCATCTACGGTAAATAGAGCGAATTGCAAAGTACATTTTATATTGAATGATTGTTTAATGATAATGAATTGGTAGACTTGAATGAGCAAGGTGTTGTTTGCCCAGAAATGTTCAGATCATGAAGACACCTGTGACTTCATCAAACCCGCCGTCTTCGAAACGGGGCGTAGGCTAGGCTGCAAGTTGTGTAGGACAAGACTGCCAGCACAATGAATGATGAATCATTAAATACTTTCAATGGTTATGATTTCAATGGGTAGACTGGCGGTCTTTGTTTCATGAGGATTTTGAGATTCTATAGTGCAGATGCAACGAGAATTTTGAAGTGAAGCGATGTGAACATTATTGACTGTGATGTTTGCAACAGTGCCCGTCGTCATTGCAGCAGTGGTATAGAAGATCTAGATCTAGATCTAGAATCTAGTAACCTAAGAAGGCTTCGAACTTAAAACTTAAATAGATCTAGAATCTAGATCTAGAATGAAATGATAGGCTAGTCATTTTTGTCATTGCTGATGTACAGCAGTATGTACACTGTTCAACTGTGGAACTCAGATTCAACAAGGTCGCCGAACCTGACCTAAAATTTTGTTGATCGTGAGTGTTCGTTTTAAAGCAAAACATCATGAAGGTTTTTGGGTGCTTTTTCGGTTGTTCCCACCCCCCTTATTTGAGCCTGACCTACTTCTAGATCTAGATCTAGATCTACGTTTGATTCGCGGTGAGCTAAGATATCAAACCTAACAACAGCAAAACATTAAATTGTGGTAAAATTCAGGGGGGCATGCCCCCCTGAAAACCCCCTTCCTATTAAAATTGTTAGGTCAGGGGGGCAAGCCCCCCTGAAACCCCCCTACTCTTGGGGCCAAAACCCGTGAATAACAATTGCGGGGTGGGAACTACCGAAAAAGCGCCGGTTTTTGTGTGTCACACGTAGATTACGATCTACAACAGGCACTGAGCAAGTATATGTTATAAAGGGAAGTAACAAGTGGTGCCTAAAATGCCTATCGTATTATGAGCTGTGCAAAAAAAGACCAATTCGTTCAAATGCATGCCTGTGTCATCTCGATTGTTTGCCAAAAAGTTGTGTGTGTAGAGCATAGCATACACGGCAACTTTTGATTCCATAGACCAGCGCCCAATTCGTTACGTAGATCTCTACGTCAAGACTAGCTTTTTGTGTTTTTTTAATTATCAGTTGCCGGGGGAAGTCTGTGTCGTGCGACGTTCCACGCCCGGACCGCTGGTGCCTCGCAACACACACACACACAGTCACCCATGTGACGGCCGCCCATCCTACCCCCGACACATGCTAGAGTTGACACGTGTGCATGCCAACAACACGTGTGTTGATATGAAAGAAGACCGCTGATTGATCACATGATGCATCGGCTTAGCGGATAAATGGATAGTTCCCGGGAATAGAGATATAAATAATAGAGATTTAAATGTTCTTTGTGGGAGAAAAGTGAGTGAAGCCTCGTCTGCGGGGGGGTGTTCACCTTGGAAGTGACCTCGTTGAATCTAAGCTTGCTGATTTTTAGTGTTCGTTGAATCCAGGTTATTTTTATTAATTTTAAAGAAGAAAAATAAACAGGGGAATAAATCTCCTTTCGTTGAATCCTAGTTCCACTGTACTTTTAGTAGTTCTGAAGACTAAGTACTGTCTGCAATTAAATTGGGTGGACTGACTAAGCTGTTAAAGAGAAGGCTCGACAGCTCAACAGATGGTCTGTGCGTGGCAACCGGGAGGTCTGGAGTTCAATCTTTGATCTAGCTTCGGGTTTTTTCTACACACCCCTTCCCTGATCTTAGTGAGGAGGTTTAACACCTTGTACTTGTATTCTCGAATAAAGGCCAAAACAAATTTGGGGGTTCAGTGTGGAATTTTCACACAATGACAATGATGTCATGATGGTTTTAAAATTGGGCTGCTATCTTGGCAAAATGTTCAGACTTAATTCAGAACTGTTCTGAAACCACTCTCAGTAAGAGAGTCTGAGTCTCTAAGAGAAAGAACCTCCTCGAAAATGGCTGTCAGGCAGTCATAGAGATTTTATAAACGGTCATTTTGTTGTAAAAATCAACTCTTCTGGGTCTTTCTACATTTAGTTAAAAGGCCTACCCACTACTCTGTTATTTGGTCTTTGTATGCAGAAAAGAAAAAAAAAGCTGTAAAATGATGAGTAGAAAACTAAATTGCGTCAAGAAAATGTGAGCAAAATCGAAAGTGTGTTGAACCCTAAATTGTAGAAAAACTGAAAACAAGGTTTGTATAAAATATTCAAGTGTCCCTGTATGTGAAGTATCTGAGCATGGAGTGTGGACTTTTTAAATTTAGAGGAGTGCCATGAAGTGGGTATGAGAGCGCTGTTGATAAGACCATAAAAGATGGTCTTGTGGTATATTAGCTGGATAAATAGTAGATAGATGAAGAACAGTAATTTACTTTTATTCTTTGAAGTGAAATAAAAAAGGTGATAATTTAAAAATATATTGGACACTGTGCAGTGGATGTATGATCACTATGATTCGTCTTGCATAGTGGCAGGTTTAGAAGTTATATAATGAGTGTGCTTTTTTGTCTTGTTTGTTTGTTGTTGTTTTTTTGCTTGCTTGCATTAAATTTCTCTGAACTTTGGCTTTGTCATTTCAGTGTGCATTGCATAAAACATTCAGTGGATACTAATGGTCTATGTGTGGAGGAAGCCAAGATGGTGATGTCAGACCCGGATTATCGCAGGCGCCTCGCCTTGTTAGAGGAGCGCCTCAGCGACCCCAACTCGGTCATTAATGTCGATGGACTTTTGGTGAGTCTGCTGTTACTGATGGCAAAACAGGTTGTAGAGAAGCCCCAACACAAGAAGATAATGATTATAAAATTATATTATGTTGATTGTCCTTTTATTGCAGCTTTAGTGAAATCGGTTATTGGTGGTCAAGGTTGGGCGGTGGGGTCTGGTAGAGAGGAGACACAACTCACAATGTAATTCAATGTAACTGTAACTCCCCTGGTGGTGAAATGCCACTCGTAGCCACCGCACCTCTCTGTGAGGTTGGGTTGTATCTTTTCTCTTCATGTACTTTGTCTTCTCTTAGCTCCCTCTTTAGTGCCAGTTAGTCAACTATAAAGTTCTTTGTTGAAAAAATGGACCCCGATACCCTGACTTTATGGGGCTTGACCTCGAAATGTGTTTTATTCGAAGGGAACAAAGTAATGACAGCTGTAATTGATTGTTGTGTAAAGTGTTTTTTAATGCGCTTTTCATTAACTGAAGTGAAAACATAGCTACTGTCACAGAGGAAAACAGATAGCTAATTATGTCACAGAGAAAGTAAAAATGAGAAAGTGACAAAAGTAGGAAAATTTGTGTAAAAACTATAGAGGTACACAATGATGAATATCACCCCGAACTTAAAGTATCTCAACATCAAATTCTGTGTCATTACAATTGTCTGGTAGATGGTAAAAAAAAAATTTTTTAAAGAATTTTACTACTTTTCCTTGACTCGTTTACTTTTAAACTTTGTATTTCAATATTTTTCCACTTCTGTTGGTGACATTGTTCCGAATGTTTTTACTGAAGTACTTTTTATTTCCTTTACTTTTCTCCATTTACCCTGCCAGGTACTATAACATCTCTTCCTCCTTGGATGTGAAAATTCATCAGCAGTTCATGATGGATGAACTATTATTAATTATATTATCCTATTATTTATTATTTATTGAAATTATAATGCTTTTTATACAAGATGTAAAACCAAAGATTTGCAGTTTATTCTGGGTTTATCTTTTTTTCTTCTTAAGCTGCTAATACATGAGGATCTAGCTTTATCGGTTAGTCTTGTTGGGAGCTTTCGAACTCATTGTAGAGAAATTATTATGGGTATTTTCACGTCGTCTCATCTTACACTTTTAATAGGCCGTGACCCTGCCATATAATATTAATCATGACAATTTCCTCATCTCCCCAGGATGGTATTACTGCACTGGTTGCGGATTTGGATTACCCAGCCATCAAACGAATGAAAAATGTCGAACACTTTTTAGAAAGATGTAAGTACTCCTCAGTTTGTAGTGAATGTGTGCAGTCCTGTCCTTAGACTTTGTCATCTCAAGGCTCATATATAGTAAAAACCCTTGCCATAAAAGGCCAAAGCAGTTTCAGGAAAATTCCAAAGATACTGGGTGGTAAACATCACTGATTGATGAGATGTGACGGCAAAGTGTTAAGAGAGACTTATAACTTTGAAAATAAATATTATGAGCAAAATTGATGGTTCACCCCGCAAACCTGATCTAATTACGAAAATTGAACAAACAACGTAAGCATGAAACATGTATGGATGTAGAATTTGCATTGAAAGGATTATTTAGAAGTGAAATTGGGTACAAATGACTTAATAAGACTTGAACGTTGCATTTAGTGGTGATGAGATAAAGGTATGGGGCACTTATGGTTATCCCCATTGAAGTGGTGAGCTAAAAAGGAAAGAATTATACTGTTAATTATGTATGGCTTTGTACTTTACTTTTCCGATCTGGCTGCCATTTGAGTTGTAGCCCTTCGGCCTGTCGATATGGCAAATAATTTACAGGTTTTTATCAGCTGTGTTTTGTCATTGTATGGGGTATTTCCGATTTCTTGGGAGGCTGGTAGGTAGTAATGCAGGTCACTAAGTGCAGGGCAGGTAAAGAGGTGGTGTGATACTGTTTCATCCTGGCAGTCAGTTGGGGTATCCTTGCAGATCCCATAGGTAATTCAATGGGATGTGTTGTGTTCACAGGCGAAAGCTAGTGACTTGTTCTGTTCTACTCAGGGAATTTAGTATATATCTTTTGAGTTGGGAGCAGTCATGTGTGCAAATACAGTTCTTCCAGTTTTGCCCATTACCCATCCATTCAGCCACTGTTCCCTGGTGTTGCATTTGATGATGTTCTTGACTGTCTGTTGTGATACTGGGTTTTGAGGTTGTGTTTGTGATGCTCCCTTCTATGGTTTTGTACACAGAGCAGTGTGTTTGTTGTGACACTGTTTGCCCTACCTGTGGCTCAGTGTTCACCCCCCCCCCTCCCCCAGGGCAGTGCTACTAACTGAAGTGTCTTTAGGCCATTCCCAAAAGGGGGATATTAACATTTTTTTTTAGTCTTATGCACAGTAAAATTGTAAATGGGCTGATTTATCAATGTCGTGCTTATACTGTGCCAGAACATCATCGTGGGAACTGCTGCGTTTTCCTTCCTCCTCCTTACTATCGTCATTTTTCCTCTACTTCTTTTGTATGTTTGTCACTCTCTTGTGAACTGTTATTTCCTGGGTGCCTTGATAGTCGAAGCAGACTTTGTGCTGTTGAGGCTAGAGAGGTGAGCGGAGTGAGCGTGATTCCCCCTTTGGACTTCTTTGTTGACATCCACCCCTTGGCTCTCATATGACCTTATGCAGTTACGAGCGCCGTAAAATCTTACTAAAACTAACCTAGTGTTCACCGACCAATGGGGCATGCAGTTAGTTCCTGTGGAAAAATCCTTTTGACAGACTTCGATTTTGTCCTCAGGGACGATGAAGAAGTGTCAAAATTCAACTACTTGTGAGATGCTGTACTGACTTGAATATGATTTTTGTTTTGTTTGTTTGGGAAAAATGACTTTTGACCTGAGAAACAAGTCTAAAAGAAGAATGGGTTAAGATGTAAGATGGCATGGAATCATACAGCTTTGCCCTTTTGTTTTTGAAAGAGAATCATGTGTTATCTGGAAATTTGATAAAATGATAGCTATTGAAGTAAGCAGGAGTACTCCTCTCAGATGTACAATCATTTTTTCCCCTCCCCTTCTTTGTCTATGTACTACCTGATTTTGGGCCAAAATACCTGAAACTGACCCTGAATGAATTTACCTGAAATGGGAACTTTTAGGTTGGCAGCCCAAATAATGCTTTTAGACTGTGCTTTTATAAACATTATTATTTATATTCAATTCGGTACTAGTTTCTCTGATGTAATAGCTAGACTTTTCACCACTGCTTGTCAAAGATCTGTGTCTGATTCACAACGGGGACGGTTGTTCAATAAAGTGGGCTGGACCCCACCCAGCTATGGTTTGGTCCTGAGCAAGCAAGGATGAAGCAACCTGCCCTGTATTAGATATGATGTAAATTGTGCCAATGGGGGGGTGTAGTTTAACATGTTTCTTTCAAACTTCTTCAACAAGGAGAAATTCCCTGGGTAAGATGGGGAAAATATTTAATATTAGATCAAATCCTGTGTATATTATTAGCTTTCTTATGTTGTACCTCTTTTATTCTAAAATTGTTGTGTGGGTGGTTGGTGGGTGCTCTGGTGTGGTTTGCTTCTTCTTTCCTATCAAACATCTCTATCGTCCTTTACTCCCCTCCTTCTTTTTATGTTTGTTACTCTCTTGTAACACCTCTAATCTTCTGGCACTCATATGACCTTCTGCTGTTGCGAGCGCCGTAAAACCTCTACTAAAATTAGACTAAAATTGTTGTGAATTGATAACTCATGTTTTTCAAAACAAAACCCTCATGAAGCAATGTTGTGATACCAAACATTCTGTCATTAGTGTACAATGAAAGGTAGATATTATATATTTAATTATTTTCTTTAATTCCCTTTGTGCAAGGTGATGATTTTAATGAGTAGAATACATAACTTACACCTTTTGTTATTCTTTTTTAGATGGAGAAAATGTGGATCTCATTAAAAACAATCGTATGAAAGCCGCTGACTTTGAAGTTGTCAAGGTCATTGGCCGAGGTGCTTTTGGAGAAGTTCAGTTGGTGAGTTTAGAGATATTTTTCTTTTTCCTTGTCTGTCTGTCCATCTCTCTGTCTCTTTCTTACTTTCTCTTTATCTTTCCTCCCTGTCTTTCTCTCTCTCTCTCTCTGTCTTTCTCTCTCTCTCTCAATCACTCTCTTAACTCTTCCTCTTTCTCTCCCTCTTTACAATTTATAAGTCCAGTTGTCATGACCATCAGGTACTGTTTTTTTATACTATTTTTAAAAAGACAATTAACAGTATCTAATTATTGATCACTGACACTTCTTTAGTGAAGGAAATTGGAAGCTTACTTTGTAGCACTAACATTGGATGAGGCAGAGACAGACAGTATGACATTCCCCCTGAGCCATAGCAAATTGTGCCTAAGAGTATTTGTTGTTGATTTGAATATCTTCCAGCAGAAGAGAGAGAACTGCGAGAATTTAATATGTTAAAAGTAAGTATTTTATGAGCACAGCATAGCCAGCTCTCTCTCTCTGGTGTCACACTTGGGATAGAGGAACAATGAACAAGTTGTGTGGAATTTTTTTTTTAATTTGTGTAAATGTGACCTTGTAGCACTTGTTACCCTGACTCATCTGACATGCTCTCAGTGTGTAGTTGACATCTGCTCTAATGTGGTTGTACACTTTCATTTTCTTGTAAAATTGTCTGTCCAAAGCGGGTTGTTGGCGGGTGCTCTGGTGTGGTTTGCTCCTTCTATCCCATCAAATGTCTTTCGTCCTATGTCTCTTCCTTTTTTTGGGTTTGTTACTCTCTTGTAATTCTTCTAATCTTCGGCAGTTATATGACCTTATTGTGTTGCAAGTGCCGTAAAACTCTTACTTACTAAAACTAAAATTGTCTGTCCAATGTGTGTGTGTGGGGG